TAGTGACAAAATCTTAAAACAAATCTGCAACTTTTTCAATAATAACCTGAATGAAAATGTGACTTCAACGGTTCAAAAGGCTTCAAAAGACAATATTCCATCTGAGTATGTTAACATCAATAGCTTACCAATATTATTACTAGATGATAAAACACCAAACGATGATGAATTCAATCCGACTTTTGTTAATCCTGAAAATGAAGTCCAAAACTGTATAGATGATAATATGTTTTGTATTGAACTAGAAGTAAAAAGTAATCTAGAAGAGAGTAAAATATATTAAACGGTGGTAGAGCCACGCAGCAGTTTTTGCTGTTGCATGTACCTCACAGAATACCGGCGTGAAGTAGAAGCTCTGCTTCTGCGTTTCGTCTGGTGAGTGCAGGTGGCCGGAGGCCCAATTCCCCCCCCCCCCCCCCCCCCCCAATCAACATGGTAGCGGAATTACACTATGAAATACCCCAGGAGGGTACCAGTACCCCTGGAGAATCCCTCGCTGAGCATCCACGACCATGTTATTCCGATCCTAAGCGTGGGTGCTCAGGCTGCCCCGCGTATTCTGGGGGGGGGGGGGGGCAAAATTCCGCTCAAAAGCATTACTGCTAGGGGCAAACTGAGCAAGAACACCAAGGCGACCCCTGCCACGCTATCCTTGAATTTCTGCAACATCAGGGGACTTCACTCTAACCTAAACGCCGTCCACTACCATCTCGAGACGGCGAAGCCGGCCTTGCTCTTTCTGACCGAGACGCAGGTTTCCTCTCCGGCTGATATTTCGTATCTCTCCTACCCGGGGTACAAATTGGAGCATTCCTTTGTGCCTCAGGCTGGAATTTGCGTGTATGTCAGAGAGGACATCTGTTCTCGACGCCTCGGCAGTCTTGAAGGTTCGGACCTGTCCATCCTTTGGTTACGCGTAGACAGCGACGACCATCCGCGCGTCTACGGGTGCCTCTATAGGTCCCATAGCGGTAATGCCGAAACAGACCGACTCATCGACCACGTCCAAATGGCTACAGATTCCTTGCTACAACAAGTCCCATCCGCAGAGATCGTGATCCTTGGCGATTTTAACGCCCACCATGCCGAATGGCTCAGTTCACGTCTAACCGATATGACTTTGCCTTGGCATATGGTCTGACACAACTGGTTACTTCGCCTACGCGGATTCCAGATGTGGAGGATCATACACCTTCCCTGTTGGACCTTCTGCTGACCTCTCATCCGGACGGATATCAGGTTTCCGTCGATGCCCCTCTCGGCTCTTCGGACCATTGTCTGATCCGGAGTGTGGTGCCACTCACGCTCCCTTCGCGGTTGCGTTCTGCAGGTTGCCGCCGTGTTTGGCATTACAGGTCGGTGGATTGGGACGGAATGCGGTCTTTCTTTGCATCCTACCCATGGGGGCAGGTTTGCTTCTCGCCGGACGATCCCAGCGCTGTTGCTGACTCTGTCACTGATGTGGTGCTACAGGGAATGGAACTATTTATTCCATCATCTGTGGTACCCATCGGAGGCAGATCTCAGCCTTGGTTTGGTCGCTCCTGTAAGACTGCTTTACGCAGTAAGCAGGAGTGTTATCAAGCCTGGGCTGCGGCTTCGGCGACTCGGGATGTAAACACCAGCACACTTAAAAAGAAGTATAACTTTGCCTCCAGGACCTTCAAAAGAGTTATTGCCTGGGCAAAGTCAGAGCACATAGGCAGAATTGGCGAGAAACTAGTTCGCCTTCCTTCGGGAACCCGTGCATTCTGGTCTCTCGCCAAGGCTGTCCAAGGGAATTTCTGTAAGCCATTACTACCATCTCTGCACAGGGAGGATGACTCACTGGCCCATGACGCAAAAGACAAAGCCGACCTTTTAGGCTCCCTTTTTGCGTCCAACTCGACTCTTGATGACGCGGGAAAACACCGCCGACCATCTCGCGGTGTGAGTGCTCCATGCCGGATGTGCTGTTCTTACAGTGCTCGGTTCGCAAAGCACTGCTCTCCCTGGACATCCAGAAGTCGAGTGGGCCTGACGGAATCCCCCCAATTGTGCTGAGGACGTGTGCTCCGGAGTTGGCACCGGTCCTAACGCGTCTTTTCCGGTACTCCTACTCCCAAGGCGTAGTCCCGAATTCATGGAAGACAGCTTTTGTCCACCCGATCCCTAAAAAAGGCGACCGCTCAGACCCATCCAACTATAGGCCTATCGCGATCACCTCCTTGTTCTCCAAAATAAGGGAATCCATTATTAACTGCCAGCTCATCCGGTACCTTGAGGATCACCAGCTGATTAGTGACCGCCAATACGGTTTTCGTCGGCGTCGATCAGCTGGTGATCTTCTGGTCTACCTGACCCATAGATAGGCGGAGGCAGTAGAGTCCAAGGGGGAGGCGTTGGCCGTTAGTCTGGACATTGCGAAGGCCTTCGATCGGGTTTGGCACAAAGCGCTTCTTTCGAAGCTCCCTTCCTATGGGCTTCCCGAGAAATTGTGCAATTGGATCACCAGCTTCCTTGCAGATCGGAGCATCAAGGTCGTTGTAGACGGTGCATGCTCTGACTACAAGCCTATTAACGCTGGTGTTCCACAAGGCTGTGTGCTATCACCAACGCTGTTTCTTCTGCATATCAATGATATGTTGCTAACTGGTAACATTCATTGCTATGCGGATGACAGCACTGGTGATGCTCTATACTCCGGCCGTGCCAATATTTCTCGGGAAAACGTCGCTGAGTACCGGAACAAACTTTTGTCTGAAGTCGAGTCTTTGCTGAGCAAAGTCTCGGATTGGGGGCGACTAAATCTAGTCCAGTTTAATCCTCAGAAGACACAAGTTTGCGCGTTTACCGCTAAAAAGAACCCCTTTGTCGTATCTCCTCAATTTCAAGGCACTCCCCTTCTTGCCTCAGCCAGTATCGGTATCCTCGGAGTCGACATATCGAGTGACGTGCAGTTTCGTGGTCACTTGGAAGGGAAGGCCAAATTGGCCTCTAAAAAGCTTGGCGTGCTCAGCAGGGCGGGACAGTATTTCATGCCGGCACACCGCCTGCAACTTTACAAGGCGCAAGTTCGGCCTCACATGGAATACTGTTCCCATCTCTGGGCAGGGGCTCCCCAGTCCCAGCTCCTTCCACTTAACCGCATCCAACGCAGAGCGGCTCGAATTGTCGACGACCGAGCCCTTTCCGATCGGCTCGATTCATTGGCACTGCGAAGAGATGTTGCATCCCTTTGCATTTTCTTTCGCATCTACCATGGGGAGTGCTCTGAGGAATTGTTCGGATTAATCCCAGCCGCCAAATTTCACGAACGCACATCGCGGCAGAACTCCCGATACCATCCACACCATCTGGATGATTGGCGGTCCACCACTGTGCGATTTAGAAGATGTTTTCTTCCTCGCACGACCTACTTGTGGAATCGATTACCATCAGCGATTTTTCCGGACCGATACGACTTAGGGACCTTCAAGAAAAGAGCGTACTCCTTTTTAAAAGGCCGGCAACGCATCTGCGATTCCCCTGGTGCTGCAGTTGTTCATGGGCGGCGGTAGTCACTTACCATCAGGTGAGCCGCATGCTCGTTTGCCCCTTTCCTATAAAAAAAAAATATCCAAATAAGCAGTACACGACTCCAATCAAAATACGGGATATCTTGGTTAAACAGGAAACCCTACAAAAAAGGCGTACAAACTGTCGAAAGAGTCTCTTTTGTACTAACCTCAGACGAGTGGCGGAAAAGGGAACAAGAGAAACACGACGCATGAAAGGTGAATGAAAAACCAATAGAAACACGTAAAAAAGTAAGGCTGAAGAAACAAGAACAAAAAAAATATATACCAAAAGTCAATAATGGAAACACTAGTTACAAACGGAAAAGCAAAAATAATTCAAAGGCAGTGACTTTAAAAGATAAAAACATGACATCGGTACAAACAAATGATGAAATTAGTACTCTGCTTTTGCCGTGCATCGATCATGTCGACGATGATTCTCAAGTCCAAGAACCTGCTTTTTTAGTGCCCCACGTAGTTGAAATTCATAATGAACTAGCTACAACACGCATGTCTGAAAATAATAAAACAAATCGCATTATGAAAAAACTCCGACTAAAAGTAATAACGAGAGATTCTCAGTAGAAGAAACTAAAGTGAGCATATATAAACAGACAAGTACTGAAAAAGAAAAATCACAAATTCAATCAAAGAAAAGGAAAATTAAAAAGAAATCTCGCCAACCACCAACCAAATTCTGCTAAAATGACACAAAAAAATAACAAAGACCATGAAGTATTTGACAAAATTACTAAAATACAAAAAAAAAAACTACACCATCAAGGAACTGGAAGACATACTGAATGAAGACGAAAATGGCAATGGATAATTGAGGATGTATCTTATAATTTCTTTATTTTGTAATTAAATACTAAGCTTAAGTACCTTGATAAGGATATAAATAGATAATTGAAGTTCCTGTTGGTACGCCATCAACTAGATTTTAAGTTTCTAAGAAGACTCGCAATATTGATCTCTGTATTCTTTAAGTTAATAATCTTTATTTTTTTTTAATTTAAGTACCTACCTAAATGCCAGTGTCAAAGAGATATTAAGTAGAGACAACGAACATTTTGACAAACAGATTAAAATTATTACGATATGTATAAACACCTAATAATAAAAATAGTTAAATCTCTTTTTTACAGAATCTTTTATTTTCAATCCCTTTTATAATTGGTGCTGATAATTGGGCTGGTAAGTGTCCACTAATTGGTGATGATAGTGCTCATAAATGGGAGTAGATTCATTTTTCAAAAATATAGTTTTATAGCCGAATGTCTATAATTAATATGAAAGTCTCTTTTAAACAACGTTTGTTATTATATTTGAAATCTTAATAATACAATAAAAATGTGTACAGCTTTGTATTAAATGAAATATTTTGAATTGAAGTTAAAATACCTGTTAAAGTGCTAATAATTGGGTTCGTCACCCTATAACAGTTACGAAATATTATACCTTTATATATTCCGGCTTGAGATGTTCGTCTGCCATACAGTCTACACTGTGGTACTTAATTTCGGACTCGATGCCCAACGCTGCGATCGTCATCGTGACGGTAGAGCACGGTGGTGACCCCATCATGTAGTAGAAGTTGATCGTCATGGCTACTGTTTTGAATAAGATTTTTTTTTAAATATTAAAGATAGGTAAAAAAAAAAAGAAACAGTCTGCAAAATGTTCTGCTGGATGCTATCTCCTCCGTACCGGAGGGGAGTTTATACGTGGTAGAGCCATGTTGCAGCTATATTAGTAGTATAGTTGTAGCACGAATAGGTCGGCTCGACCGGGGAAGGACCACGCTCTCACAGAATACCAGCGTAAAATAGCAGCTTAACACTGCTGTGTTTCGTATGGTGAGTGTAAAGAACCGTAGACCCATTTTACTGGAAAAGAGGCATTCCATATTAGACCTCACGGGTGACAACGAATCTGCATTTTGATTCGCAAACGAGGATATGTGTAGATGTCTATGGGCCACAGTAACCACTTACCATCAGGTGGACTGTGTGCTCGTTTGTCACCCTATCAAAAAAAAGAACACTAAGCGAAAGGCGGTAGAGGGGTAAGGTAAGGTAAGGTAAGGTGAGAGGCGCTTAGCGTAGTTCGAGTAGTTTCGGATCGGCCTACACAGCTAAGTTTAAGTTAGTTTGACTTAGTTTGGCTATTTTACCTAGCGTAGACGGCATAGTTTGCGGTGGACGCACATGTATGGAAAACTGACTCAGCTATGCGGGCTAAGATAAACTAAGTTAGTTTAGTTTGCGGTGGACGTTCGGCTTTAATGTGGCGTTATTTAAATATAAGATAATCAAAAACCATTTTTTGTCAATTGTTCGTGTTTTTCAAAATAAAACTTTCAAGTTTTAGCCCTCCTGGAATTGCTCTCTCTATCTGTTCGTCAGAATCGGTTCAACCTCTCCGACAGACAATTAAAAAAAAATGGTTATATTTACTTGTCTTAGTAGCGTTCAAATAACCCTCTGAGCTAATAGACGTCAGTTATATCATTTTACAGATATTTTTTTATTAAACTTGAAGTTTCTGTCTGTGATATTTAACATTGAAATTTAATTGTGATAATTTAAAATTAAAAATTTTATACAGCCGACTTCAATATAAGTTATTAAGAATAACTCAAATAACTCAAAAACTATTGGTCTGACCTTGGTCAAATTCATAAGGGACCACACGAGAAGTATCAGCTTTCATATAAAAAAAGAATCATCGAAATCGGTCTACCGAGTAAAAAGTTATGAGGTAACACACATAAAAAAAAACATACGCGTCGAATTGAGTACCGTCTCCTTTTTGGAAGTCGGCAGAAAATTAGTATGATTGAGTCGAACTAATACTCACCGAAATATTGATGACAGATAAATGATTCGCGGGAAAACCAAAATTAAAACTGAATTTTATTGTTTAACACCAAAGACTTTTTACCAAAATTAAACGCCTAATCAATATGACTTGCGAAAAACCCTTATCTGGGATTTATTGTAAGATAATAAAAACACAGTTTTGAATACATGTTATAAACGTAATCATGTCCAAATAGAATTTCATTCCCATATTAAAGCATATTACTGAAATAACAACATAATGTTAAAAAAAAATATTTAAATTAATTAAAAAAATTGCTGCACATAGTGATTTCTTATAATATTTACATGAATACAACACATTGAAAAAAAAAAGAAATTTACGGATTTTATCTTAACTTTAAACTAAAATATTTTTGTATACGTAATATTTGTTTTATTCAAATTACAATTTAATGTCAGACTCGCATAAAGTTTATTAACTCGTTGATTTCTTATATAAGGTTATTTTGCAATAACCGGCCAAATTTGCAGAGAAGGTTCAGAATAAGCAATATAAGCAAATGTTAAAGTAAAATTAATTAAAAAAAATCTCAAACATTCTGTTCTTTTTAAATTCAAAATGCGTGGTAATGCATTATTTTAACTGATTTAATGCACACGCACATTTGTAAGGATCGATGGATAGGCAAAAACGTTGTTGCCCATAAATCACATTTCATTTGTAATAATCTACTTATATAAATAAAATGATAGAGGTTTGCAGTTTTATATACGATCTTTTTGGTTTTTGTTTCCTTCGCACATACGAAACTTTTGAACACAAAATCTTGGGAAATTCAACGCCTCCTAAACAGAAGCGTGTCTCTTCACTGTAAAAAGGAGCCAGCTCACCTTGGTTCCTTCTTTCCGAAATATATCACTGGAATATACCGACCGCCTTCAGTTGTTACGAGGGCGGCACTGAAAATTTCGGGAATCAAGGAAGTGACACAACATTACTATTTAAAAATGTATTTATTGCTTTTCGAAGTATTATCCGCGAAATTTGACACATTTTTCCATACGATGGAACCAATCATTGAAGCAACCATTCCATTCGGAAGTTGGGGTCTCCAAAATGGCCGTTTTGTAGGCGTCCACAGCTTCTTCAGGTGATGAAAATCTCTGTCCACGCTATTTATTCTTTATTTTAGGGAAAGTATAGAAATCATTAGGGCTTAGGTCGGGGCTGTACGGCGGATGGTCTAATAATTCTATTTTTTCTTGCTCTAAAAACTCTTTTGTTCTGTGTGCAGTGTGAGAACTCGCATTGGCGTGATGGAGGATGATGCGGCGGTTGCAGTTCTCTTTACGGAGTTCAGAAACGACCTGTGGCAAACAAATGCTAGCATACCATTCTGTATTAACCGTTTTTTGTCCCTCAAGAGGAATAGTCGTAACATGGCCGGTTTTGGAGACAAACGTGGCCACCATTTTTTTTGCAACACTCCGTGAACGAACAATTTTTGTTGGCTTTAACTCATTTTCGAACACCCATACTCGTGACTAGTTTTTTTTCGGGTTCGTACGCGTATATCCAGGATTCGTCACCTGATACGATGTTGTATACAGCATTTGAGGATCCTGCGTGGAATCTTTCGAGAGTTCTGACGCACCAAGTAACGCGAGCCGCTTTTTACTCTTCACAGAGCGAATGCGGTATCCACCGGGAAAACAACTTTTTTACACCTAATTGTTGACTGCAGTTTTTGGATGACCTTGACGGGGATCATCACTGAGCTTGACACGTCCACGTTGAAATTCAGCAAACCAGCGATAAATTGTGGTTTTGGATGGGGCTTCATCACCAAATGCAGAAATCATCCGGTCAACACACTGTTTTTGTGTTAAACGGTTAAACCACTTCGAAAGTCGTAATAAATCACCGCTCTTGAATTTTCTCGAGTCAATTCCATTTTCTCAACGACTAAACAAGTTTGACAAAACCTTGTGACAAGACCGAGAATCTTTTTTTAAATAAATAAATGGTATTCGATTTTTAAAACCAAGGAATTTTCAATTAAAAAGATTTTAATATGACAGAAACAGTGGAAATATTCCATTCCCGATACTTTTAGTGCAGCCTAGGTATTGTTAGTGTTTGAGATATCCTCAAATCTGAACCTCATTGAGTCCAAGGCCAAAACGGCGATACTTCACGCCGAGACAGCTGCTTATTTTATATACCTAAAGCGCAAGTCCAGTCGTGCATGGAGTATTGCTGCCATATATGGTCTGGTGATGCAAAATGCCACCTAGCAGCTTTGGACTCAATGGAAAGATATGCTAAAAGGCTTATTAATGACCCGAATTTGGTTAAAACCAATCTTACCAGCCTCGAACACAGACGCAAAGTAGCCAGCCTTACACGGTTTTCTACAGGAAGCATTTCGGACAGTGTGCGCAGGAATTGCATAATTTAATTCCTCCCTCTCCCTTCCACCATCAGACAACCAGACGTTTGGCCAGTCTCCAACCTTTCGTTGTTGACTTACCATGCATTCGAACCAAACGGTTCGCTACGTCATTCATCATGCGTACAGCAAAGGAGTGGAATAAGTTGCCAGCATCTGTCTTTCCATCCGATTACAGTGTGGGTGTCTTCAAGGCAAAAGTGAATAAGGCTTTTGTTAAGTCAGTGCGCTTCACCATCCTAGGCTACATCACCACTTACCATCAGATGGGGTTGTAGATAAGCGCTGGCTTAGTGGAATATAAAAAAATCCTTCATGGGGCAAAATATTCAGGATCTTTTTACGTGGTAGAGCCAAGCTGCAGCTATATTAATAGTAGGTATAGTTGTAGCAAGAATGGGTCGGCTCGGCCGGGGAAGGACCACGCTCTCACAGAATACCAGCGTAAAATAGCAGCTTAACACTGATGTGTTTCGTATGGTGAGTGTAGAGAACCGGACACCCTTTTTACTAGAAACGAGGCATTCCATTTTAGTCCTCAGGGGTGACAACGCATCTGCATTTTAATACGCAAACGAAGATAGATGTAGATGTCTATGGGCCACAGCAACCACTTACCGTCAGTTGGACTGTGTGCTCGTTTGTCACCCTAATTCTATAAAAAAAATAAGAAAGTTTAAAATTTTATTTAACTGTTCAATAAAGGTTGTAATACTGCTAAACAGTACATAATCGATAAATTACACCAAACTGGCAATAAAGAGCATCGCCCAGACCTAGAGTACTGCAATTACCAAATCCTGTGCCAACCGTGGCATTAAAAGATTATTTTAGAAACCTTAAACCATTGAATTGAATTCACGACCTATAGTTACATATATTCAGATATTTATATGATTATATAGAATAAGGGTGACAAATGAGCACACAGTTCACCAGATCGTAAGTGGATGCTGTAACCCATAGAAATCTACATCTATCCTCGATTAAGAACTAACTGCAGTTGTCACCACTGAATACTAAGATGGAATAGGTACTTCGTTTCCAGTAAAAAGGTCTCTAGTTCTCTGCGTTCACCGTACAAAACACGGCATCATTAAGTTGCTATTTTACGCTGGTATTCTGTAAGAGCGTGGTCCTTACCCGGTTGAGTCGACCCCTTCTTGTTACAAATATATGGCTTCATATAAACATAATATAAAATTAAAAATTTTGTACCACTGACTTCGATGTAAATTATTAAGTACAACTCAAATACTATTGGTCATACCTTAATCAAATTTATATGGGACCACATGTGAAGCACCCGCTATCAAATAAAAAAATAATTATCAAAATCGGCTCACCCAGTAAAAAGTTATGAGGTAGGTAACACACAGAAAAAAAACATACAGTCGAATTGAGTACAGTCTCCTTTTTGAAGTCGGTAGAAAAAAAGGTAATATGGTAATAATTAGTATTTTGTACAAATGTTGACAGCAGATGGTTTCCAACCTAGATAGCATGATTCAATAGGAAGAATGAAGGTAAGCAGTATGCTATTATCAGTGTTATAAAAATAAAGAGTTATTTTGCAATAACAGGCAAAATTTGCAGAGAACGTTCAGAATAAGTAATACTCGTATTCATCATCATCATTACAGCCCTTCACAAGTCTACTGCTGAACATAGGCCTCCCCCAAAGAATGCCACAAAGCACGGTCCTGAGCCACCTGTATCCATCGACTTCCTGCATGTCTTACCAGGTTGTCACTCCATCTCGTGGGGGGACACCCTACACTTTGTCTACCGGTACGAGGCTGCCACTCGAGAACCTTTCTTCTCCATCGGTTGTCGGTTCTTCGAGCTATATGGCCGGCCCACTGCCACTTCAGCTTACTAATCCGTTGGGCTATGTCGGTTACTCTGGTTCTACTGCAGATATCCTCATTCCTAAGTTTATCACGCAGAGAAACTCCGAGCATAGCCCTCTCCATAGCTCGCTGAGCGACCTTGAGCTTCCTCATACGGCCAGCAGTGAAGGACCACGTCTCAGTTCCGTAAGTCATCACTGGCAACACGCACTGGTTGTACAATTTCGTTTTAAGGTTTTGAGGTATGTCTGACGAGAAGATGTGTCGTAGCTTCCCGAACACTGCCCAGCCGAGTTGAATCCGTCGATTGACCTCTCGGTCGAAGTTGGACTTACCTAGTCGGACTATTTGTCCCAGGTAAACATACTCGTTAACAACTTCGAGCTTAGTGCTCTCTACAATTACCGGCATAGGTGTGACATGGATATTAAACATAATCTTTGTTTTGTCCATGTTCATCTTAAGACCTATACGTTGGGAGACACTATTGAGGTCATTGAGCATAGTGCTTAGGTCCTCCATCGATTCTGCCATAAGGACTATATCGTCGGCAAATCGAAGGTGAGTGATGTACTCGCCATTGATGTTAAAACCGTATCCTTTCCAGTCCAGAACCTTGAAAACGTCTTCCAATGCAGCGGTGAAGAGTTTCGGGGATATAACGTCACCCTGTCTTACACCTCTCTGCAGTTGGATAGGTTTCGTACTCTGGTTCTGTACTCGGATAGCCGTCGTAGCTCTACTGTACAAGCACTTCAACACTTCGATATACCGACAGTCAACTTGGCACCGCTGAAGGGACTGCAGCACCGCCCAAATTTCGACGGAATCAAAGGCTTTCTCATAGTCTACATACGCCAGGCAAAGTGGCAAATTGTACTCCTCGGACTTCTGTACAACTTGCCGAAGGATATGTATGTGGTCTATGGTGCTAAAGCCCTTTCGGAAACCGGCTTGTTCGGGAGGCTGGAAGTCGTCAAGTCTGCGTAGTAATGCTATTGATAATATAGCGCCAATTGTATTCTAGGTGAAATGGGCGCCAAAAGCAGATTTTTGACGCTTTATGGTTTTTTTCTTTTCTTAAAAAACGTTACCTCCACACTAGGATTTTCTCCTGCATCGCGGGAACAGTTTACATACATCAAACATCCAGACCCAGAACAATTGTTTGTAGGCCGTACAAATACGTACTATTACATAGTGGAAATAGTCGGCACCTTTCTTAACTTAAGTTAAGTACTCGTAGATAATCAATGATAAGTGATATCTGATTAACACAACTGTTATTTGTTTTTAGTTTTTCTAAATTACGGAGACAATAAAAGCGGTAGATACTGTTTTCAGTTTGAAATGCAATAAGGATAGCTGTTTTAAATGAGATTTCGATCTTTTGTATTGGGTAGAACTGAGATGACTTTATAAGCCTATTAGCATTTCTACTTGTCTTTCTAGTGGTTCTCCAGACCAACTTTCGATCACGGCGGCCACTTTTTTACGTGCAGCCATATTAGTTGTAGCAAAAACGGGCCAGCTCGACCGGGGTAGGACCACGCTCTCACAGAATACCAGCGTAAAATAGCAGCTTAACGCTGCTGTGTTTCGTATGGTGAGTGTAAAGAACCGGACACCCTTCTTACTAGAAACGAGGCGTTCCATTTTAGTCCTCAGGGGTGACAACGCATTTGCATTTTGATGCTTAATCGAGGATAAATGTAGATTTCTATGGGTAACAGCATCCACTTACAATCAGATGGATTGTGTGCTCGTTTGTCACCCTAATTGTATTAAAAAGTCACAAGTGCACTGTCTATACTCTCGCTCACGTAGTGCGCAGTACAAATGACTTTATGTGCTTACCAGGGCACGGCTGTGAAACACAACTTCCTGACTCTGCGCTTCTGCTGAGAATTTACTGAGACTCAGGCTTCGAACTCGGGACCACATAATCAATCACGACGATCAAGATTACCCTTTTTACTTGTGGCCTTCGGGGTGACAATTCATGGAAATACTCATCAACAGGTAACGAAATCATCACGTCACCGAATCTAATGTGTAGTCGTATCTAATCTTTACGTGGTAGAGCATGGTTGAGCCTTGTAGATGTTTGCTGTAGATCGAATAGATCAGCCTCGACCGGGGAAGGGACTGGCGATCACAGAGTACAATCATAAAATGGAATGGCTGAACCGAGCAAACTTGGAGATATTTTTATTGAGAAATCGAAAAATTTATAAAATAAATTATCTGTGATAAATATCTTAAGTCTAAATAACGCCATTTTAATAGATCGTACTCAGACGAAACCGGGGTGGGTCGCTAATAAATAAAATAAAAATTATTTAAAAAATCGGTTAAATTATTTATTGCTATTTTTTCAGATTATATCTTTTATTTTCATTTATTTAATTTAAATTTCTTTTATTTTAAATTATTTATTGTTATTTTTCCAGATTGTCTTTAATTTTCATTTATTTAACTTAAATTTCTTTTATTTTATGGTTCATTATGTAGTTATCAAAAACGTTTCATTTCTTCGCCAGATCCTCGAAGAAAGCCTTGAATTCTCCAACGTACTTTTCATTTGTAGTTTTGTACTTGGGCACTGTTGATTTCACGAGGTCATACCATCTGTAAAATGTGTGTATTTATTTATTTAGCATTACATTAGTTGCGTAGTTCCGTATCAGAAGTTATTGTTAGAACCTATTAAAATCGACAGCTGAAGATTAGGGCGTCCCCCATAGATTGCCTCATAAGGCGGATATTTACAATTGTTGCCACACTTGACAAGCGGGTTTTTGAAGTTATACTTCTTTTGGGGCGTTTGAGAAAGATGATGAGAGTGAATTTTTACGATGCGCGCGCACGCCGACACCTAAACACGACCATGAAGTTGTTATGCCTCCTCCACACTATTCGCCTCGTTCAATTTCGATCTACTCCACGAGTAGTGTGGAGGAGGCATTACGATGCGCGCGCACACTGTCATCTAAAAGCGACAACTTCAGTGGGTCATTGTCTCTCAAGTTTTTGTGTTTTGTTACACTAAAGAAGTATAACTTCCTACGTGCGTACATAAGTACACACACACTTTTTTATTTTTAGCCATTATTAGGAAGACTGCTGCCCATCATCACGGGATGATATGGGATATTGAATATTCTTACATCGCCACGATACACGGTATCGCGACTATAGAAAAAGCTAGTAATATATTACGGCTTTCGATATAATAGCGGTGTACCATATCGTTCACGCCAGCTGTAATATCCTCAGGCCGGCGACGGGCATCAGGTTCAAAGGTACTCACGTCTAGTACTGCGATCGTTAGTTTGATTGCCAAGCGTGAAAAACGTTTAAGCTAAATTCTCCCGACAACGTATTTGCGTATCGATACTTACAAATAAATAAAATTGAAGTGTCTTTTTGTAATGTCAAACTAACACCTTCTTACTAAATGCATATAAAAGTATGGTACTTATAAAAAATACAATTTTTAAAATGTTTGTGTGTCTGTCTGTCTGTTTGTTGCGGCTAATCCCCGAAAGGGCTGGACCTATTTTGACGGGACTTTCACTGGCAGATAGCTGATGTTATAAGTAACTTAGGATACTTTTATTTTATAAAATAACAAGGGTTCCGCGCAAACAAAAAATCCATAAATCTTACGTAGACGCGGACTACAGTTAGTAAATAAATAAATTTGAATTTTAGAGCTCCATGTCCAGCAGTAAACGTTTACGGATTGATGAAGAATGCAAAAATGGCTAAAGTAATAATGAGAATACTATGTACTTGTTACTAGTTATGCGAGTGGTAGCTAAAGCGATCGCGTACGCGAGTTTAATCACCGCAGGAATATATTGTTACAATAGAATTGTTAAGTACAATTTTAAATGCTGATTTATTACGTGGTCGATGGTTAAAGCAAATAGAATAGAATATAATGATTTTTATTCAATATAGATTACAGTACATAATACTTATTGAAAGTTATTTTTACGGTTCCGTACCTCAAAAGGTAAAAACGGAAACCTTATTATATATAGTCATTAAGCTGAAATTCATATCAAATACTCAAGTTTACTGTCCCTTGGAGCTGTGAAAAAAAAACTTCTAAACCAACGCAATCAAAAGATACAGCCGTTTATGCCGCAAATTTTCGACATTTGTAAGGGAATCAAAACCTACTGAACCGTGAACTCAGAATTTTAAAATTTGGTACGAAGCAACGTATTATAGCACAGATAAAGGAAAAATTGCGAAAAGCATAAATTTTTAGTTACATCATATAACAAAAATATTTTTAATAATTTTAAACTTATATACGTACGGATTTGTTCGGAACCCTCGGTGCGCGAGTCTGACTCGCACTTGGCTGGTTTTTTTTTTACTTTTACCACTGGTTCGCAAAAAAAACCACTGACCAAACTTTGCGAGGAAAAGCCCGTATGTGTTATAAAAACATCTTGAGGATAAGTGACGTCTGTCATACGCTTATATAATATGTAAAAACACAATGTTCACATTATGGTGGACATAAAAATAAATCATGTTATTACCAAATACGAAAAAGTTGAATTTAAAAAAATCGCGAGGTAACTTTTTCATTTATTTTCCGAAAAAAAAATTACATGAACCAAATCATATCAAGGTACCCAAAATCACCGGAGTTTTATTACATACTAGCTGTTTGCTGCGACTTCGCCCGCGTGGAATTTATTACGATTTGATTTCACGGGTTTTAATTTTTTTGCGCGGAACCTTAATTCTTTTACTAAAACAAAAATAATCTATGTTACTCCTTATAACATCAACTATCTGCCAATGAAAATCCTGTCAAAATCGGTCCAGTCGTTTAGGAGATTAGCCTGAACGAACAGACAAACAGTCAGTCAGACAGGCAGACAAAATTTAAAAAATTGTTTTTTTGTTATAAGTACCGTAAATAGTTTCGTATGCATTTAGTAAAAAGCTGATATCTTGACATTACAACAGACAGTTCAATTTTATTTATTTGTATAGATTATATACAAACCACTTTAAATTATATACTATCTCACCTGACAATGTTAGGATATTCCTTCAAGCTGATGTTGGCGGCCTCTATGACAGACACAGTAGCTACCAGGCTGAGATCGGCCAGCGTCAGTACCGAACCAGCTGCATATTTTTTATCCGCTAAGAACGTGTCGAAGAAGCCAAGCGCCTCCTGTACCTTTTTCAAACCAGACTCTTCCAGAGGTTTCCTCTCGATTTGCGGATACTAGAACGAAAATCATTTCTGTTAAAAATTTTACGTCAACTGTAAGAGAAAATTAATTAAGAACAGTTTTACCGTTACAACACTTGTATATTGTCGGTTAGTGGTAGTGATGGTCCATGGTCCAGTTAGCCTGTGGTAGTCGTAAAAATTACAAAACCCGTCCCTGTGGGCTGGGTAGACTTTGTGAGATACCACATACTTATCTAATTCTGCTGCCTTGAGTACCTATTTATATTGTGTTTCTGTCTAAAGTTTAAAGAGAGCCATGCTGCAGCTATATTATGGTTGTAGCACGAATGGGTCGGCTCGACCGATGAAGGACCACGCTCTCACAGAATACCAGCGTAAAATAGCAGCATAACGCTGCAGTGTTTCTTGTGGTGATTGTAGAAAACCGGAGATCATTTTTACTGGAAACGAGGCATTCCATCTTAGTCCTCACGGGTGACAACGCATCTGCATTTTGATTCGTAATCGAAGGTAGATGTAGATGTCTATGGGCCTCAGCAACCACTTACCATCAGGTAGAGTGTGTGCTCGTTTGTTACCCTTATCCTATAAAAAAAAGCTAGTTTACTTACAGGCTTTGCGGTATTTCCACCTTAGATGTGATTATATTGATATCAGCTTATGTTTTTATTTGCTATTAATTTTTTAATATATCCAATAGTCACTGTGCGACTGACTTAAACCTTTTGCTGTTTCGAACTTATATTTTCAATCCGACTTAACAATGACCATCCACAAAATGAATAGTTTCATGACAAACTTACATAATACTCTGTGAATCTGGCGTAAAGAGTCCCCAGGTCAAAGTCCAATCTCTGGTCGATGACGGCACGCGCTTGAACGTCTTCAGGGTAGAGGGCGCTGCCTTTGCCATACTTGTTAACTAGATATCTGGAGATCGCGCGAGACTCCCACAGAACGAAGCCGTCGTCCACGATGGTGGGTGCAGTGTGCTGTGGGTTCATCTGAAGAACAAGCAGACATTAAAATTATGTTCTTCTTCTTTCTAAACAGCTCGCAAAAGTCCACTGGCGGTGAAGGAATATCCACTAGCCCATATCGACCCGTGGGTGCCGTAAGAGGCGACCGAGGAAAACTAAAACAGGAGATGGGCAGCAGCATCTTCCTAATAACCACTCAAAATAATAACAAAAATCTGCAATTGCTAACCCAATTTATGGGGGAAACTATACTATACTACTAACCTATAGGTCTGAGAATTTTAAGTCTGGTATAAAATAGATATGGTTATACTGACATCTATCGGTAGCCATAAGAACTTTTTGGCATATTCCATAGTCGCAATTATGACATCCACAAGAGGAAATGGAAGTTATTGATAGTCTTACTCTCTCTTCAACTACTCTATTTGAATCACTATGTACAAGTTAGCAATAGTCACAATGAGGGCATCCACGACTTTTTCTGCTACCAGGGCGGCGCTACTTTACAGTGAGGTAAATTATTTGACAGATTTCATAGCGGGGAAAATAATTTCTTAAGAAAATGTAATATTTAAGGTTTTTTCTGTATTATTAGTTATATTTTATATTAATTACATTAGAAATGAATAAACCAAACTACAAATAAAATATAACTAAAAGCCGATTTTTTTAAAAAGAGTTATAAAGTGCAAAAAATTAAAAAATCAAACCTCTGACGCATTGTGTTGTGTAATAATATAATATTTTAGATAATGATAAACTATTATTTAAAACTAATTTCTCAATTAACTGACACTATGTTACAAAAAACTTTACCTCAGTCACAACTAGCGACATCTGGTGAGTGGCAGATTATTAGCCCTCATTGTAACTGTATTTAGGGTTGCCAGCCTAAAAGGTCAAGAGACGCACTTTTGAAAACATAGCAAGATTTCGAAAATAAGTGTAAACAGTGACGGTGTAAGAATATGTAGGTCTCGTAAAAACGCCAGAGGAAAATAGAAACAGGATATGGGCAGTAGCATTTGCCTAATAACAACCTAAAATTATTAAAAAAAACTGCAGTTGACAACCCGCCCGCCAAGCGTGGCAACTATGGCAAAATTCTTCTTATGAGGTAATCTGTGGAAGGGGCCTATGTTCAGCAGTGAACTTTAATAAGTTGTAATGGAATGTATGAAACTGAGTTAACACTGTCTGTCCAGTTCGCAGACACAATAGTAAAACAAGACCAATAAATTACATGTAATGCACGGGACAGGCAAAGAGTTAAATTTTGAAAATACCTTTACATATTCCGGTTTGAGATGTTCGTTAGTTGTATAGTCGACACTGGTGTACTTGATTTTGGACTCGATGCCCAGCGCTGCGATCGTCATCGAGACGATAGAGCACGGAGGCGACCCCGGCATGAAGTAGAACTCGATCGTCATGGCTGCTGTTTTGAATATTTTTATATATTAAAAACGAGTAAAAAGAAACATTCTGCATATTGATCTTTTGGCCACAGACCTCTCATATCTAAGATGGTTAAAAGGATTAGTTAGCGGACCTGATTTATATGTTATCGATATATTTAACTTTCTCAAACATAGGTCTCCTTTTCTATTTTTGAGTCCTTCTAGCCGCCAAATACATATACTACGACATAGATTAAATTATAAGGATAATTTAAAATATTGCAATAATTGCAAGCAGATCAGTTTTAAGGGGACTACAGGAGCTAAATGCAAGTTTTATATTGCCTTAAAGTTACGATCCAATGCAGTAAACTAAATCAAAAAAATATATGATATTTTATAGTACATATGCTAGTTAGATAGTGTGTTGAAAACATGATATTAATTTGATACGATAGAAAAAAATCATAAAGATACCTCTAAAAAATTTTTTAACGAGAAAAAACCAAACTAGTATACGTGCAATTATTTTGATTTTTGTCAGATTATTCTACAAGCAACATATTAACGTAATAGTGTTTTAATTTTTTAATCGGATAACATTAGAAATTGAACTAAAACCCATATCAATTTTCGTACATTTGATAAACGTCACTATTATTTTTTAAAATAAAATAACAAAAAAAATTAACGTTAGGGTTTTAAATGATTTTCTAATTATTTAAACATATAAATGTAACTTAATTATATTATTTAATTTATTAGTAACTGAAGGCAAAAATACTACTTTTTCCATTTGATGATAGATGGTGTTGTTTTGATAATTAAAACGTAGATCGTCGGCGGATTCCAAATTGTTATACAAGGGTTAAAACTAATTTTAAACTTTATTTATAAATTATAAATATGGTATTTATTTGAAAAAACACCCGTCTTTCCGCCTATTAACTAACATAATCATATATAATAAGTACAAAATTAATATCTAAACCAAGGAAAATACTTAACCATCTTTTTTTGTAGTTCCGTAATCGAATAAAAATTGCCCTGGGTTACTAACTATCTACTTATGTATACGCTTTTACAACAGAATCCCAGAACATGTTCAAAGTTTGTCAATAAACAAGTTTAAAAGTTTTATTAAAGAAAAACTGTACAAAAAGGGTTATTATAATATCAAGGAATACATGAGTGAAAATAACCCCTGGGAATAAGGTGATCGCCACCATGCTGGTTCTATGAAAATTCATTTAAAATTGTATAATCAAAATTATTGTTAAGTGAAATTATGTTTAAAAAAAAAAGTCCCGCTGGGTTTCTTGCTGGTTCTTCCCAGGACAGAGGTATTTTCCGAACCAGTGGTAAATAAAATAATGACTTTCAATAAGTATTATGTAATAATCCATATTGAATAAAAAATCATTCTATTCTATTCTATTCTATTCTTACAAAATTTTATGGAAATCGGTCCAGTAGTTTTTGCGTTAATCGTGAATACACAGACAGACAGAAATTCTAAAAACCACTAATTTGGCTTAAGTAGGTACTATTTATTTAGTCTGTTGGACTTGTTTTTTTTTCAAGAATATATTAGAATTACAGACAAGACTTTCCTACAGATTTATTATATGTGTAGATAAAATTAGTAGGCAACCCCCGCTATAAAGCACTGGAATGTCGAGAGTGAAGATGATTAAATTAAATTTTTTATATTATTATTTTTAAATTTAAATTATTACTTACCAAAAAAATAATGATACCTAAATGTTACGTTAAAGAATTTAAAACAGAACTGAATTTAATCGTGAACACCTAACCATTAAGTAGGTGGCGAAAACTGCCGCTTATCTCGGCTAGTTGATAACACGGTCTTGAATATTTTAATAAACGTAATGTTTCGTTTCGACCAGGGCGATAGAAGAATGTCAAATATGACTTTCGTCTATCGCCATGGTTACCGATAGCATGTTAATATGAGTTCATAATTATATATTATAATTTAATTATTGATTACCAACAATAATTTAAGATTCAGTTGAGAAAAATAATATTTTCTAGGTATGTCCGCACAAACCGGTACTTGAAGTCCTTCAGAAGCTCTTTAATTCCGTCCTCCATGGTGGCACTACTCCGGAGGCGTGATGCAGAGGTGCGGTGGTCTTGTCCTTCAAGAAAGGCGACAACGCTCTCTTGAAGAACTACAGACCGATTTCCCTACTGAGCCGCGTCTACGTGCTGATTTCGAGAGTCATTACGAATCGTCTCGCACGCAGACTTGACGACTTCCAGCCTCCTGAACAAGCCGATTTCCGAAAAGGCTTTAGTACCATAGACCACATACACACCCTTCGGCAAATTATACAGAAGACAGAGGAGTACAATCTGCCACTTTGCCTTGCGTATGTGGACTATGAGAAAGCCTTTGATTCCGTCGAAATTTGGGCGGTGCTGCAGTCCCTTCAGCGGTGCCAAGTTGACTGTCGGTATATCGAAGTGCTGAAGTGTTTGTACAGTAGAGCTACGATGGCTATCCGAGTACAGAATAAGAGTACGAAACCTATCCAACTGCAGAGAGGTGTAAGACAGGGTGACGTTAAATCCCCGAAACTCTTCACCGCTGCATTGGAAGACGTTTTCAAGCTGCTGGATTGGAAAGGATGCGGTATCAACATCAATGGCGAGTGCATCACTCACCTTCGATTTGCCGACGATATAGTCCTTATGGCAGAATCGCTGGAGGACCTAAGCACTATGCTCAATGACCTCAATAGTATCTCCCTACGGATAGGTCTTAAGATGAACATGGACAAAACAAAAATCATGCCGGTAGTTGTTGGGAGCACTAAGCTCGAAGTTGTTGACGAGTATGTTTACCAGGGACAAATAGTCCGACTAGGTAAGTCCAACTTCGACCGAGAGGTCAATCGACGGATTCAACTCGGCTGGGCAGCGTTCGGGAAACTACGACACATCTTATAATCATAATCATAATCATAATCATTTATTTCGTGGATCATAGGTATTACATAGATGTTAGATACATTATTATATAATCAAGTTCAACTATGTCCTACCCTCTGGGCATACGAAATACAATATTTTTGGAAATCATTTAAAGTAAATAAAATAACAAAAAATGGAACGTATACAAAACATTAGTGGGTATAGAATTTGAGAAAAGAGTTAAGTAGGTATGTTAGAAATCTAATTATGACATAAATATATTGAATAATAACTATGTTTTATTATGTACATTTTTAAATAATGACTTAACAATATTAACTTAACAATCTTCTCGTTAGACATACCTCAAAACCTTAAAACAAAATTGTACAACCAGTGCGTGTCGCCAGTAATGACTTTACGGATCTGAGACGTGGTTCTTAACTGCTGGCCGTATGAGGAAGCTCAAGGTCGCTCAGCGAGCTATGGAGAGGGCTATGCTCGGGGTTTCTCTGCGTGATAAACTTAGAAATGAGGATATCCGCAGTAGAACCAGAATAACCGACATAGCCCAACGGATTAGTAAGCTGAAGTGGCAGTGAGCAGGCTATATAGCTCGATGAACCGATAACTCGATAATGGGGAAGAATGGTTCTTGAGTGGCAGCCTCGTACCGGTAGGCGAAGTGTAGGGCGACCTCCCACGAGATGGAGTGACGACCTGGTAAGACATGCAGGAAGTCGATGGATGCAGGTGGCTCAGGACCGTGGTTTGTGGCATTCCTTGGGGGAGGCCTATGTTCAGCAGTGGACTTGTGAAAGGCTGTAATGTATGTATGTATGTATGTATGTCCGCATTGCGGACAAATGTTGCGAGTTCTTGTTTTATATGGACCAGGGATAAGGAATATATTATATAAGTACTTATGTATATTATATTTAATTAAACATCGAAGTCTTAAATAACTAAAATTATAACGTTATCTATATCTACTCCTATCCTATAAAAGAAAACTCTTACACAGATACAGAGACATACAGATGGATGCATGTGGTTCAGCATGTGCTTTGTGACATACAGTGACATACAGTTGGAGCCGGCAGGTGGCGCTGTTGTCGCGATCCAGAAATCACCCGTGCGAAGCCGGGGCGGGTCGTTAGTTATTTCTAAAATACTCAATATATGATTTATAACTATTTTGACGTGTGGTGACAGCGAAATAAAATATACTAGTACTTCATATCGTGCCGTGGGTGACGTAAGGATACTTGAAGGACTTTATGGCTTCCAATAGATGATATTATAATCATCTCCTTTACACCAGACCAGACCCAAATAATCAAGGCCCGTATTAATAAACGTTACTCAGCTCAAGTACACGCACTTGAGTACAATATTGAGGTTATGATCTTATCAATAAACATATCTCAAGATGCGTTTAGGTTTACGTTATCAGCTGAGTGCCACACTGATTAATAAACGAAACTCGACTCTCAAGTGTGTGTACTTGAGTGCAAGTCACAGAACAGTAGGTATTCCTAAGTACAGCGTTTTGAGATACTGTTTTTATGTGTTTATTAATTAGCAACGATCTTGAGATGCTGATATCGTAATGAGTGCATTGTTGAGTAACGTTTCTTAATACGGGCCTTACCAGTAACGGGCGGCAGCTTCAAAGGTGCTCACGTCCCGTCAGGCGATCGTCAATTCTACTAGCAAGCGTGACGGTTAAAATAAATTCTCAACAGGCATTACTATGTCCGTTGGAGTATCCTACTAGTGTAGGCAAGAAAGGTCGTGTTGCTGTGAGGCTGCCCTATGTTACATTGAGGTGGGTAGTGATGCTGTTGGTTAGCATACTTTAGTGTTATCATGTAATTGGATCCTGATAGTGAGCAGGGTTTGTTACCGAGTAGTGTTCTTTTATTTAAATAATTTTGAGAATAATTTCTAACATCAGAAGTGGAATAATTTCTTACAATATGATATATTTGTACTTCACAATTACGATACAAAAATGATTTAAGCATCACGTGATCATGTATCGATGCTGCGAACATGGAGTATGTTATACGTACTTGTGTAGTTCA